AGGGGAAGGTTGCTGTGGCTCAACAACGCACATGCGTTGTTGAGCCACAGCAACGTGTGGCCGGGTACAGCTAGTATTTAATATATCACCAGAACAGCTAGGCTGGCCTAATTTTACTAACCCTAGGATAGAGGAAGATAATTAAATCAATTGAAATTAATAAATATACGTTAACAGTGAAATAATTTTGATTAAATGAATTATTGTCTCTAGCCAAATTTACTAATCATTTAAACCCCTAAGTTTGTGAAATACATTTGTGAGGAGAATTACCACAATACACTCCACTACTTTACCAGCTGATTTACAGTCCACAATTAAACTTAAATTAAATAAATTCCTCCCACAAGTATTACCCGCAACCTCAGGCAGGTTGTTCACATGAGCTAGGAACAACAGTGGTCCCAGGACAGAGCCTCGTGGGACCCCATTTGTCACATTCCTCCAGTTTGACGCCTCCTCTCTGGCTGTGACTCTTCGGTTTCTTTCCTTCAGTTACACCCTTACCCTGAGTTCAGTGTTCTCCCAGTTATCCCAGACTGGTTCTCCATCTTGTACAACAGTCTTTCATAGGGAACACTGTCAAATGTTTTTTGAAAGTCATGAAAAATATCATCTAACCAACCACCATTTTACTGACTTATTTTAATAAGCTTGTCATCAAGTTCAGTCAAGTTAGTCAGGCACGACTTTTCCTTTCTAAGTACATGCTGGTGCTTTGCCACATAGTTGGGCCTGTCCAGATTCTTCATTCTTAACCTGATTACTTTCTCCAGCACTTTACAAGGCACACTTGTTAAAGACACTGGTCTTTAGTGCCTTCTTTCTATCCCACTTTTTGAATCCTGGGACTATATTTGCCTTGTTCAGACATCTGGGTGACTTCCTGTCTCAAGTGTTTAGTAAAAAATATTAAACAATAGGTGGCCGAGTACTTCAGCAGCCTCCTTCAGCAGCCATTGTGATATTAGGTCTGGCTCCATTGATTTTGTCACATCTAGTTCCTCCAGGATTTTTCTCACCTCTTCTATACTGACCAAAATGCCATCCCGTATTTCCTCCAGCCTTTCATCTTGCAGCCTTGGTCTCCACGCTGGTTCTAATGTAAAGACCTCCTGAAATTTTTTGTTGAATTCCACACACACGTCCATATAATTTTATGTAAGAGCTGCCCTTTTTATTTCTGAATCTGAGAACGTGGTCTTGCACTGTCATTTGTCTCCTTAATGGAGACAAATGTTGTTCTAATATTGTCATATCAATAGAACAGATTGATATTTGTTCCACTGGCTCTCCAGATATTTGTTCCAGGTGGCTTTAAGAAGTGTTTGTCTGTCATGTCTGCCAGTTTAACTCTGTATGGCGCATCACCTCCGAGGGGATCCTTATTTATCCAGTCTATTTTCCTATGGTTGAAGTTTCCCCAATATTAGGGTTTTACACACAGAAATAACAATAGCGTGATGCATCAAATGAACAAATCCACAAGGGCCGTGACGAGGATTCGAACCTACGTCCGAGAGCATCCCAGACGCTACCTTAATCGACTGAGCTACGACATGGTCAAGAGAATTGAAATCAGAAGTTCTACTGAACTTACTTGGATTCAGCAGTCTCTCCGAGACACAAACCGTTCATTTGTTCATTTGATGCGTCACACTATTGTGATTTCTGTGTGTAATGAAGTAAGGGCGAAGAGGTTGAACGGCCTATTGACATAGCTCGAGTGCATGGAGAATTGTGTAAAACCCTGGTTTGTGTCATGGAGAGGCTGCAGGATCCAAGTAAGTTCAGTTGAACTTCTGGTTTCAATTCTTTTTGACCATGTCGTAGCTCAGTCGATTAAGGCAGCGTCTGGGATGCTCTCGGACGTAGGTTCGAATCCTCGTCACGGCCCTTGTGGATGTGTTCATTAGGGTTTTAGCTCTTGTTCTGCCTTGCTACACTGATTGATTTTTTCCATTACCTTTTGACATATATTGTCTGTCATATTCTTCGCTAGGTCTTATGTTGTTTGGTGGGAGTTATGAATCACTGCTAGCACAATCTTCACACCTTCCACTGTTGTTATTGTTGGTCACCTTCCTCTGCTAATTTTGCTTTGTGAAAACTCCAGTGAAGGTGTTTCAGCAAGACTACACTACCTCCGCCTCTGTGTTTTTGTATGTCTATGTGTTATCTGTGTTATATGTATCTATATGTATGTCTATGTCTATATGTTGTGTGTCTCTGTGTGTCTATCTGCATTTGTGCACATTTCTTTTATGCAACTCATGGCAACTGGGTTGCTTTCATTTTCACCGAGGGAAACTCATTCACTAGGCTGTATTTCCTTGTCTGATAGGGAAAGATGGGTATGGTAAACTGGTCATTCTTTCCTAATCATTTGCACTGTAGCTTCATTAGACTGGGCAGCCCTACTATCTTCCTTCTACTATCTCCCTTACATTGTTAAGCTGGTCCGCATCACTATTTCCCCGTGTTCTTCTCTCTGGTGCCTCATTTGCTTCATTCTGTGCCCTCTTCTACATTCCTCACATTTGTCATTTGTTTTTCTTCTGTCTCCTTTTGCTGCTTCTCTTTTCTTCTTAGACATGTTGTATGTAATAAGTACTGCATGATACTTTTCGTCGATCCTAAAAATTTCCCCTCTACCACTATATATTTAACTGGTTTGCTGTTCATATAAATAACTTTCACTGGTTGATTTCTTTCTCTTGGAAACTTACCTAGCCTGCAGAAATGATCCATTTTCCTTGTAACATTCCTGGCTTGAATTTTGTGAAGATTTTTTTTTTACTTCATTCCGTTCATTGTGTGTCCCATCTAGCCTCTGGTAGGTTGACTATTACTACTGATCTCTTCCTCTTCAACTCCTGTCGTGTACTTTTCATGTCTTTAGTTCGTGTTTACAGCCTCTAACACTGTTTCTTGAGTTATCTTCTTTCCCCCTGAGCCCTTGGCTGACTCACTATAGGTTTAGTTTGGCCTTTCTCCCCAAATCTCACCTACATTCTGCATTTAATTCTGTTATCTTACTTTCTTTGTTGCTCTCCCTTCCTCTTTCACCATTTCTGTTCTGTTCTCTCTCTCTAATTCACTCTTACCTCCCGTTTGCAATTTTATGTCAATCAGTTCTTCTAATTGATTTAAGGTTTCAGTGCCGAGTTCGTCACTATTGTCAAGTTTTACCTTTAGGTCTTTAATTCCTTTGTCTACCATCTCTTGTAATTCTTAAAGCTGCCTTTCCAGGGAAGCTGCATCGGCTTTAAGGGCCTGTACGTCTTCGACACTCCTTCCTGCATTTTTTCTAGTTTCTCACCTCCCACTAGTTCATCTTTTCCCGGTAGTTCTACTATGCTGATGGTCTTCCCCCTTACGCCTCTGATGCCATAAACCTTTCCATATGGTTGAGTTTACATCTTTTTAGGACTCTCCATATTTATCTTATCCTTCCCTCTTCAGTGTCCCATTGAAACTCTTGCAACACATAACAAGTAGACTAGCGTGCATGGCTTGTGTTAATTGCATAATGACTTCCTCCTCCATCCGGCACTGACATCGGTGGATACTTCCTGGTACATGCTTCTCTTGGACGCCGATGTTGGTGGAGAGGATGGAGAGGCGGCGGGTGGTTTGTGTAGAGGTCATGTTGGAGGAGGAGGTGATGGAGGAGGATGAAATACTTACCTAGCAGTGCTTACCTATCAATGCCCAAGGGGATGTGAGGTCTAGCCCTTTACACCCTGCCTACTATCCTTGTTGTACCTGTCGTAATATTTACTTTCCTGCCATTCGAATTTCTTTTGGAATTTGGTCTTAAAGTTGTGGAAGGAGGTGGCTTCCACAGCTTCCTTCAGTACCTCTCACTTGTTGACTGCTCGTACAGGGTACGAGAAGTTTTTTACATTCCTTCGACTCGTTTGTGTTTCCAGCTTACACCTATGTCATCTTATCCTGTTTTTTCTCAATATGAAAAGGCTATCTTTTTCCACCTTATCTATTCACCTCAGTATCTTGTATATTGCAATCATGTCCCCTTCGTTTCTTCTATCCTCTAAGTTTACCCTGCAGTGGTTCACAAGACCAATGTTCCCTTGGCCCAGTCTCTGACTAGGCTTCCTGGTTGGTGGTCTGGTTAACCAGACTGTTGGACGCGGCTGCTCGCAGCCTGACGTACAAACCAAAGCTCGGTTGATCAGGTATCCCTAGGAGGTGTTTATTGAGTTATTTTTTTTAACCGTGAGAAGTCAGCCATGTATACCACTTATGTGTAGTGGAAGAGTGTTGAAAAGTATTATTAGGCCTTAATTTGATGTTGATAGAGTTCTCTCTCAGCGTAACTATTGCGTCTCTGCTTTTCAATGAGGCTAATTTGATTGCATCAAATGATGCCAATGGGGCATCCTGGCATGCCTCCTGGTCTAATGTGATGATATTTTCGTGTGCAGATTTGAAACTAGTTCCTGTAATATTTGCTGTGTTAATTATTACTTTAAACCTGTTAGGATTGAAATCCAGCAACCATTTGTTTACCAAGTCCTGAACGTTTTCAAGGTCATCATGTAACTTCCTGCAGTTCTCCTCTGTCTTTACATTGTTCATCAACTTTGTATGATCTGCAAACTCTGACATGTCACAGTTCACTCACTTGGCTGGGTCGTTCACGTGAACTAGGAACAGCAGTGATCCCAGGAAGAAGCCTTGTACGACCCCACTTGTTACTTACCTCCACCTTGAAACACTCTCGCACTGTGACTCTCTGCTTCCTGTCCTTCAGATACTCCCTTACCTAGTTCAGTGTTCTCCCAGTTCTCCCAGCCTAGGCCCCCATCTTGTGTACACCCTTACTCTTACAGATTAAGACTGTTAAATGGTTTTTGACAATCTAGGAAACTACAGTCTACGCGGCTTCCATTTTCCTGATTTGTTTTTAGTAACCTTTCATTACATCATTCATGTTTGTTAGTCATAATTTTCCCCTTTAATTCCATACAGACCTTTTGTTGGTCCTCTCCAGGTGCTCCATCGATCTCCTTTAGGCAGATTACTGTGCTCTCCAGCACTGTGCTCTCCAGCACTGTGCTCTCCAGCACTGTGCTCTCCAGCACTGTGCTCTCCAGCACTGTGCTCTCCAGCACTGTGCTCTCCAGCACTGTACTCTCCAGCACTGTGTCCAATCACTTGGGCTGGACGGTAGAGCGACGGTCTCGCGTCATGCAGGTCGGCGTTCAATCCCCGACCGTCCAAGTGGTAGGGCACCATTCCTTCCCCTCGTCCCATCCCAAATCCTTATCCTGACCCCTTCCCAGTGCTATGTAGTCGTAATGACTTGGTGCTTTCCCCCTGATAGTTCCCTTCCCTTCTCCAGCACTGTATTCTCCAGCACTGTATTCTCCAGCACTGTACTCTTCAGCACTGTGTTCTCCAGCACTGTGCTCTCCAGCACTGTACACTTCAGCAGTGTGCTCTCCAGCACTGTACTCTTCAGCAGTGTGCTCTCCAGCACTGTACTCTCCAGCACTGTACTCTCCAGCACTGTGCTCTCCAGCACTGTACTCTTCAGCACTGTGCTCTCCAGCACTGTATTCTCCAGCACTGTACTCTACAGCACTGTACTCTCCAGCACTGTGCTCTCCAGCACTGTGCTCTCCAGCACTGTACTCTTCAGCACTGTGCTCTCCAGCACTGTACTCTCCAGCACTGTGCTCTCCAGCACTGTGCTCTCCAGCACTGTACTCTTCAGCAGTGTGCTCTCCAGCACTGTACTCTCCAGCACTGTACTCTCCAGCACTGTATTCTCCAGCACTGTACCCTTCAGCACTGTGTTCTCCAACACTGTATTCTCCAGCACTGTACTCTACAGCACTGTACTCTCCAGCGCTGTACTCTACACTGCTTGAGAGTGCAGTGCTGGACTCTTCAGCACTGTACATGCCAGATTACTGTACACTAAAACACTGTACATGGAAAACTCGTCAATGATACTAGCCTGTAATTTAGTGCCTACTGTCTATGCCCCTTTTATAAATATTGGAGCTTCTTTCCCCATTTCCAGAATTCTGGAAGAGTTCATGTTTCCAGGATTTTATTATATAATTTATATTACAGGTGCCAGCTTTGGATGATTTTTAGTTCTTGTAGCAATATAATTTTCATATTGCATATCAGCCTCTCCTATCTCTGATGTATTCATATCTGTTTTTTTAGAGACTCTAATGTCCTCTATCCCTAGTGCTCTATTGTTTTATCAGAATTGTTGTCCTTCGGCTTCCCTGCGTGTCCTGTTGAACCAGAGGTTGTCTTTCCTTGTCCTCCTTCTACTAGAGTGGTGTGAACTGCTCCGTTACGTAGACACACTTCCAAGCAAATAAATTCCATCATATCGTCTGCTGTTTCACCGTCCAGTTCTGTTTCCCATTAGATTCCGCAAGGAAAGTCCCTCATCTTACTGTAGCTGCAACATCTGTAATTTCTTGTATTCTTCAACAGTTCTCATTGTCTAACCACAGAGAACTTTGTCCCTATTTTTCGAGTCTATTTCTTTTATTATTAAAATCCCCTAGTATTATATTTTTTCCTTGCTCCACTTGCTACTGTAGCTGCCTTTGATTCAACCCTCAGGCAATTATCGTTTCATAATTTGCTGTAGTGTTCCTTAGGCCTTCTATTATATGATGGGAAATGTAAATCACCGCTACTACTTTCTTCACTACTACTATCACTAGTACATAATCTTGCTGCTCTGATTACTCTCATAGTATTACTTCTTGAAAGTTGCAGTGAAGGTGAAGCAACATGCCTGCACCACCTCCCTTCACCCAACCTCTCCACATTACTTGATATCCTCGTAGGAAGATATCATTTCCTATAACATGCGTCAGACTCGCTTTCGCCTTCATAATCATGCGTGTTCGTCTGCCATTCTTTCCTGTAACTCAACGACTTTATTAGTAGTTCCTTCTTCATTTATGAACATTACATTCATGTTGCTCATCACAAATGGACTTGGATTGTGCCCCCCCCCCATTACCCCTCACCCTCCCATGAGTGGTATTAGTACATGTAGCAACATTTCGTTGTCTGGAAGGGGAAAAGTCGCATGTCAGTGGTGCCTGATGGAGTAAGAGAAGGAGGAGGAAGAGGAGGAACAGCTAGAGTAGTAGGAGGAGCTGGAGGAGTAGGTCGAGGAGGAGGAGGAGGTGGAGAAGGAGGTGGAGAAGGAGTGGTATCAACAGTTAACAACACCATAGCTACAATAATGTTACACTTAACGAAGGGAACCTCATCAGACTGGAGGCGGACTCTAGACACAACAAGATATTCTTTATTTAAACTTAGAATGACTAATGAAGGCCAGATGTGAAGACTGTGTTGCAGGAGTGTTGTGAACGCTGGTAATGTTAGTGTTGCTGGAGCGTTGTGAACGCTGGTAATGTTAGTGTTGCTGGAGCGTTGTGAACGCTGGTAATGTTAGTGTTGCAGGAGCGTTGTGAACGCTGGTAATGTTAGTGTTGCTGGAGCGTTGTGAACGCTGGTAATGTTAGTGTTGCTGGAGCGTTGTGAACGCTGGTAATGTTAGTGTTGCAGGAGTGTTGTGAACGCTGGTAATGTTAGTGTTGCAGGAGCATTGTGAACGCTGGTAATGTTAGTGTTGCAGGAGCGTTGTGAACGCTGGTAATGTTAGTGTTGCAGGAGTGTTGTGAACGCTGGTAATGTAAGTGTTGCAGGAGCATTGTGAACGCTGGTAATGTAAGTGTTGCTGGAGCATTGTGAACGCTGGTAATGTAAGTGTTGCTGGAGCATTGTGAACGCTGGTAATGTAAGTGTTGCAGGAGCGTTGTGAACGCTGGTAATGTAAGTGTTGCAGGAGCGTTGTGAACGCTGGTAATGTAAGTGTTGTGAACGCTGGTAATGTAAGTGTTGCAGGAGCATTGTGAACGCTGGTAATGTAAGTGTTGCTGGAGCATTGTGAACGCTGGTAATGTAAGTGTTGCAGGAGCGTTGTGAACGCTGGTAATGTAAGTGTTGCTGGAGCATTGTGAACGCTGGTAATGTAAGTGTTGCAGGAGCATTGTGAACGCTGGTAATGTAAGTGTTGCTGGAGCGTTGTGAACGCTGGTAATGTAAGTGTTGCAGGAGCATTGTGAACGCTGGTAATGTAAGTGTTGCTGGAGCGTTGTGAACGCTGGTAATGTAAGTGTTGCTGGAGCATTGTGAACGCTGGTAATGTAAGTGTTGCTGGAGCGTTGTGAACGCTGGTAATGTAAGTGTTGCAGGAGCGTTGTGAACGCTGGTAATGTAAGTGTTGCTGGAGCGTTGTGAACGCTGGTAATGTAAGTGTTGCAGGAGCGTTGTGAACGCTGACAGGTGGTTCACTACATATCAGGAGCTATCTTGTCACAGTCGAAAGTTTCTGGGTTCATTTTCAGCATCAGAGTGAGACGTTTTTACACGTTTCCTTACATCTGATGCACCAATTCACCCAGTAGCACCCGGGAGTTAGTCAGCTGTTGTGGGTGGCAATATGTAAAATGCTAGTAATAGGCTTAGAGGGACCTAGTTAAGCCTAATGGGCTTCATCTTTCTGACAGTGACAGACAGGAGGAGCTGTTTATAGTGGCTGAGAATAGATAGAGAGTGTCCAATCATCACCTCAAGTCCAGAGTGGATCTGCACTTGGCGAGATGATAGACACTTCCTCTCGTGTCGGAAATCCGACACACACACACACACACACACACACACACACACACACACACATATATATATATATATATATATATATATATATATATATATATATATATATATATATATATATATATATGTCGTACCTAGTAGCCAGAACGCACTTCTCAGCCTACTATGCAAGGCCAGATTTGCCTAATAAGCCAAGTTTTCCTGTAATAATATATTTTCTCTTATTTTTTCTTATGAAATGATAAAGCTATCCATTTCATTATGTATGAGGTCAAATTTTTTTTATTGGAGTTAAAATTAACGTAGATATATGACCGAACCTAACCAACCCTACCTAACCTAACCTAACCTATCTTTATAGGTTAGGTTAGGTTAGGTAGCCTAAAAAGTTAGGTTAGGTTAGGTTAGGTAGGTTAGGTAGTCGAAAAGCAATTAATTCATGAAAACTTGGCTTAATAGGCAAATTGGGCCTTGCATAGTAGGCTGAGAAGTGTGTTCTGGCTACTAGGTACGACATATATATTTATATATATATATATATTTATATATATATATATATATATATATATATTGTGACGATAATCTCCTTCAAGAGATTGAGCCTGCTCTTCCCTCCAAAATTACGTCTTCACAATTATATAAAAAGACTATGGAAGAAATGTCCAACAACGACAACAACACCAGCAAGGCTTGCAAGGGTGAGCAGAAACGTATGCAGCCAGCCACCTGTTCGGACCCAAATCACCAAACTACCCGTTGATCGCTACGGCTCCGCTGATTGGTCGCCGGTCTGGCTGCACCTGCCTCGCCCCCCCAATACTACCTGATGTCTGGGGTCGCCCCAACATCAGTCCTCAGAATGTTCCGTGCTTTCGTAGCCAGCACACCTCCCAGCTAGACTCTAGAGTGTACTGAGAGAGGTGGTGGCTTTAAGCCAATATTCCAGCACCTCCCACTTACTGTTGTATTGCACTTCTTGTTATTTTGCCTTAACGTAACTTTTCATTTTGTCATTTAAGAATTCTTATTATTTTGATTCATTGATTTTATTATAAGAATTTGTTTGTGCATTATTTTCATGTTTTGATTTATTTAACGTAATTAAAATTTCATTGTTAAAGTTTACTTGTGTTTTGTGTGTCTTCTCCTTACCTTACCACAGACGAAGTTCCAGTTTTTCTATTTTTTTTTATAACTATGTGACGAGGCCATACCCCTAGCCTTAAACAGCCGAACACCAACGCGTTACCGTCACAAGTTTTATGGGGGCCTGTCCGGGAGCCTCACTCAGGTACTGGTGCCAAGTGGTAATTTATGGTAAGCGTATTTAACTCTGTTAACGTAGCTTTACTATTTTTCATTCAATTTCATTTTTTATAAGGTGCGGTGTATTGTGCATTACGAGAGTAACATATAGTGAAGGTGAGACAACTTTGGATTACGTGGTGACTGTAGGCCTCAGTCATACTCTTAATTGGTCATCTCTCCCTCCTTGTTATTACTCGTATTTACCATCTATGTCCCTTGAATATTTCTCATTCTGACAGATCATCATATTGGTACCCTGGTACTGTGGTCTGCCCCGGGTCAAGAGTACCCAATCTTCTGCAATCTGACTGTAGGAGGACAAAGAGGGCCATAGTTCCTCTAGCTCGAACTTTAGTTGCTGAATTGGGACCTCAGCAGCAGTTCTCGTCACCAGTTGACACCTCGCACCCCTACACGTCAGTCAGAGATGATGATACATACAACGGTAGGGAATTAGCTTATTTTTTCAGAGCACAAAAGTTCGCTAATTCTGTAAGTATCATATTAAATTCAGTGGGAAAAACTTGCTTTATGTCCTATAGAGACTTGGCAAGGTATGCCTACATCCTTGGACTACCAATTTTACTTTTGAAGCATATAACTGTTTCATTTGTTTTCGAAACTTTGTTTCATTTGTTAGTAGGATTTTCTTGCCCTTATTCTCTTACATGAGTACCGGGTACAAGATTTCCTGCGCCCTTGATTTAATTTAATATCTTTCACTTAACGTTAATTGTTAAAGATCACACAGGATAGGTACCAGTTGCCACGTTGTCCTGTTTCTGACATTTCATTATTGAACATTCGTGTACCTTTATTTGCTAATTTCACCATGTTTCGTCTCCAAACTTTCCGTGCAAATCCAGCAGGTGAAATAGGGACTTTGAGTCGTGCCAAGAGGACTGAACTACAAACTCTTGCACATGAGTATCAACTAGAAGTTCCCTACCAAGCCAACAAAAATGACCTACACAACCTGTTGCTGGATTACTATTTAGAGCAAGGTAAGATAGACTCTGAAACTCATGAAACTTACTATATTGCAGATAAAACTGATTTGGCAACGCTGAAACTCAAACTAGAGCTGGCCAAGATTGAACGTGAGCAGCAAAGGGAAGCCCGCGAACAGCAAAGGGAAGCAGCTGACATACGAAGGGAAGAGATCGCCCTCAAGGAACGTGAGTTTGCAATGCTCCGTGAACGTGAACGCTTACAGCTTGAAACCAAACAACGCGAGTTGGAAATACAACGCGAACATGACAAGCAACAAGCGACTCTGGCTCTTGAGTGTCGTCAACGGGAATACACGTTGGAAACTTCACACCTCGCTCAACGCCAGCAAGCTACTGCCAATCTTCCCGTCAGTTTTAATATATCACATGCAAGTAAGTTAATGCCATTTCATGAGGTATTTCATGAAATGGCTAGAAGCAGCACATGTCTCTACTTTTACAGAACTCGTCAACCTGATGCTTGTTGAAGAATTCTTGAGACGTGTGCCGCCTCCTGTCCGCCTCTACTTAGCAGATAAAGAAGAAACCGACTACCTGAAGTGTGCTAAGTCGGCTGACACTTACAGCCTCATCCACCGGCTGACACCTGAACCATCCTCCAGTAAGAAGTCGTGGTACAGTTACGAGAAGGTGAGCCCCGATCAAGCTGGTTCACAACTGTACTGCAAGTATTGTAGACTCTATGGACATACCATAGACAAGTGTGGTAAGTCTCAATACAAGGGAACCACTGACCAACAACGACCCAAACCAACTCCTCCTAAGTCCGGTAAGCCTGTGATGAATGTTGGTGTTGATGTTAATGATCTTTCTCTTTTCAGTAACCACCTGTATACTGGAACTGTCTCTGCCAACGGTTCAAATCCGGAGGGACGTTTCAAATTGAAGATCTTGAGGGACACAGCGGCTCTACAATCGATCATCTTGAAGTCGGCTGTGCCCAACATAGTCTACACCGGGGAAACGGTCTTCATCACTGACCTCACTGCTACTACTCCATACCCTCTCGCCAGAGTCCACCTGGATTGTCCCTACGTGAACGGGGAAGTCCAAGTCGCCGTCAGGGAAAAGCCCTTTCCCATGCCTGGAGTGCAACTTCTCCTAGGCAACGACTTGGCAGAAGACCTGCAACCAACCAACCTGATCGTCATGGACAAACCCCAGGTGTGTAACTCTGTGCCAAGTAACCCTATTCTTGAGTATGTTCCAGCAGAGGTTCAAGAGAGTGATGATGTTTCTCCTCCGGTTCTCGTGACCACCCGTGCACAAGCCGCACGTCCAC